ATTGCCATGTCTTTTCTTACGACTGATTAATTTGAAAAACGAGTAATTTTTACCCCTCCGGTAGAAGTACGTCAATCGTCGGTAGTTCTAGTATTAACTTTGCTTCCTCATCGAAAAGATCTAAATTAATACAACAATGGAAGTCGCGTTCTGAGATTCCTTTAGTAGCTCTCCGTCGATTCGAAAGACCACGCGACGGGGAAGGGGATGGTTGAAATAAAGAAGAAGCGGAATGAGTTATGGCGCGAAAAGAACGACGCGTTTCGACTCTTAGTTTCAAACGACTACCCTCTAACGTGGTACGTGTTAACACGTGTAAGGGAACGGATGATTAATTTAACGGGGGGCGAAGACATACCGCGGCACGTCGCGAGTGAATGATCGTGAGAGTGGTATCTCGTGATTTCTCGCCGAAAGGACGTGGAAAAAGGGCCGACGGTTTCGTCACGGCTCGTATATCATTCGTCGAAGAATCTTCACCCGTTCCGTTGTTCGCCAAACGATTTAGAATAGAAGCGGATTGATTTATCGAGATTCATTTACGCGGTTTCAGGAATTCGACAATTTATATCTCCCCCTAGAGAGTTTTTAAAAATAAGTTTGTCATGTATCTCGATTGGTCTTCTTTAGCCAGATCGCAAGTGAATAATTAAGTTTTAAATTGCGATTGAGATTCAAAGAAGTGGAATCGTTAATTGTTGACCTCCAACCGTGTCACGTGTGCTCGTGTGCTGAATGAAATAAAAAGATGACAGCCTGATTTCTACTGGTCAGAAACATTAAAGAGCTCTCTGATGATACTCCACCGATTAGCATGCCAGCTCGGTCATCCACAAAGAATCGCCCTATTCCATTAAGAGCACAATGTTCCCCCAGGCAGTCGCACCGAATACCTCGGCTCAGAGGTCGTTAACGCATACCTAAGTGAATCACGAGCAACGTCCACGCTACAAAAGTGAACCTCTAACGCATACGAATTACCGGCCACGAAAATTCTATCTCACATTTCTAGCGCGCGTCCCAGGCATCTAACGTCCGGCTTCAGATATGTCTCGATAAAACGCCACGTTTTAAACCAGCTGGACTACCCCTTGCAGCGTCGGGAGTCATGTTTCTGTGACCCGTTACCATGTTCCGGCAGATCGGGCCTTTTAACGGCCATTAGGACGCGGACTTTCTTATTAATCTAATTCCAAACTAAAAATTAATTTCAGACAAATTTCTTTACACATTATTCTTTCACAATGCAGTCATTTTTACTGCTTTTAGGCAATATAGGTATATACTAAGTTTCAGTCTTTCTAGTGTTAACTTTAACTTTATTAACGAGCAGAATCCTTTTTCACTACATAAGTAATAGTAATTAATACAGTTCTGTGCAGCAGAATAACAAAAAATAAAATAAGACATAAGAATAGTAATAAGATAGATAAGAATTCTTTATTATGGAAGACGAGTGATGACGTCAATGAAAAAAGTGAGATCCGTATTCAGATTTCACTTACCTTAACTTCTGATTTTCTGCATATACTGTATTCTTATCATATCCGATGTTTCTAATGTTTGAATCTTGTATTCTATTTATTAAGCAAGCAGCACGATTTACCGTAGTTACGCAGGGTGTGCCAAAGACAATGCGAGGAAAACGATTGTCGAATTATTGTTTCTGGTTTCGGACGAGGAGAAAGCGTCCGAAGAATGTGTGACGACGCGTGAGGTGTGTCTTGAAGTTTCTTTGATAGAACAATTTATGGTTTTGACTTATTGACTCTAGCGACGGCGGAATATTTGTACGGCTGCGTTTCATTCCTCTGTGTACTTTTATAACAAACTTTCATTTTCTAACGACGTTTCCCTGTCACGCTGTTCTCTTATATTCGGTTCCACTTCTTCAGACCTTAAATCTTAATCCTCTTTTGATAATAGGTAAATATGGTAAAATTATCTCAAAACTATCTGAGAAAAATTGTAAAAATGAACAAAGTTGAATACTCAAGGACTCGGAATGAAATCATTTAATAACACGTACAATCTCGACAGACCTTTACGATGGTTGCATACCATTTTTGCGGAGTTATCAAAGAAATACTGTAACGCTTAGGGAAGTACGTACGGTCTTACGAGGCACCCACGCTTCGCGAAACGGAAGGCGCCTCTCGCAGGAGATAATGCGAGTCGCGGGTGCGTCGCGTTCTATGTACCGCGGCGCGCCGACGCCGCGTCGTGTTTTTCCCTTTTCTATGTAGTTTTACGTAGATCGAGATCGAGGCTCGGCGTGGCGTGGCGTGCACGGCTCGATCTTTTTATCCGGGTTATTGTCACGCCGCGGCTGTAGCCGGGCCGACGTCCGTGGAAACCGGAGAATAAATCGCCGTTGCCCGACGTAATCGTGATCATCCGCGACAATCCGGTTCGAGGAAACGACGGGAGGATTTAATTGACGCTGGAATTCCGGCAACCGCTGGCTAGGTGGAAAATAGCGACGCCTTTTCCGGCGAGCATCGTGACTTGGTCGTTGATCGTTGATCGTTTGATAAATCGAGTATGTGCCCAGCTTTGAGTTTGTCATGAATCGATTAGAACGATACCGATCGTTCACGACATTCCCTGAGTTAGCTTGTTAACTTAAGCGATCTCAGCCTACCGAGTGTAGAATAGAGGCGTGACTCGGTTATCAGATTTTCCCCTTTGTACTATTTTTCTTGGTCCAGCAGTGACGTGAACCATTCGATTGTGACGTTAACAAAGTACGTACGTAAATAACTGAATAAAAAGAGAAATAATTAAAAATGAACGAACGAATGAATTTGTTGTATCTGTAAATCGTCTCTTCGGCTCTGCTACGAATAATAATTCGATGTTATCGGAGATTCTAATTAAACAGTAATTACATTAATCAATTAAATCGTAACCCGACGTACGCACGAGGGAACGATGCGATCATACTGACGACGCTCTAATTACTTCAGCCGGTATAATTGTGCGTGTACAGAAATTGCGGAGATTCCAAGACAATGTGTAGCGAGGGGTAACCTCGGCATAATAATGGCAATTACAGGCGAGCAATAAAGCTGTCATTACGATTGCACGAGAAACGCGTTCCTACCTCCGAGGACCTACCGCAACGTGCTTAGAGTAGTGCTCCGCGATGCTCCTTTTGTACCAATTAAAATCGCGATGCGAGTTTCGTCGGAGATCCTCTCGTTGTTTGCTGGCGAGACGCGTTATTATGTCGTTAGTAAATCGTGCTGTTTAATTTGTTTGTTCGTCGACGGCGAGCCACTTATAGAGTCGATAACTCAAACAATCTGCGTAATACATTATTATTATTATTATTATTATTATTGTTATTAAACTAATTTACTTTTATTATAGTAATTATATCTTAAAAGATGCACGATATTTCGTACATAATTCTTGAATTATGTAAGGGATTATATTAGAAGGACTATAAAAGAACGTATGTGAATTTCAGTGAATATGTGGTAACATTATTGTCAGAGGAATTGTAACAATTATTACACAGAGTTCGATCCGGTTTGTCATTCTCTTTACAACAGTATTAGATTGAATCCTGCATTTCAAGCGTTTGTCTCATGGCTGCAAGCTTTAGACATTGCCGTTTTATCAACACCGCGATCTCGACACGCGAAACCGCGAGATCCGTGCACACGCGCCGATCAGATGAATGCTTAATCAATGCGGGCTAATCGATTTATCGAAGTCATTGAGCAACCGTTCAGCCGTGATTCTCTGACACGCTTCCAACGACCAGTTACAATAATTTCAACATTTCTTATTATCGAAACACACGTTTATAACTCATAGATAAATATAACATATGTGTACATAGAATTTATACACAGAGGATCTATAATTGTATTACAACTTTCCGAGTGATATTTTTTAAAGATTCATACAACCTTAATAATTAAATTACAGATTTTCTGTAATATCGTTTATGTCGTTTTTTCTATTATGATAGCAAAAACACAGTGTGTAATAATAATATAAGGATATGTAAATCTTGTTGATAAAGGAATACTACGATCAGCAATTACGTGCATGAGGGGGCGCGAAGGACATCAGATGAATCAGAGAGAACGCAAACCCGTCAGAACGTATAGATTTCTTTCAAAGTGTCAACCGCACACTCAATTAAACGCGCGTAATCGGTACCACGATTTCTTCAGCTGTACCGTTCAACGAGGCTTTTGTTTATTGTCGACTTCCCCGCTTGCTTCCCCGTTCCGTGAAACAAGAACATTTCTGTCCTACGTCCTTACTTATTCCTCGCCAAGATTAAACATGACGACGAATATCGCGATAATTTCAATTAGGTTGAAATTAAAATCTTCCTCATATCTACGAACGGGATGTTTCAAATTTTTATTAAAAGCCCTAATAAATAAATTAGAAATCGCAGCCTTTAGTGTTTTATTTGAGACTTGGACAATTTTTCTAAATTTTTTGTTACACAGTGAACCTTCTTACGTCCCACAGGATAGTCACTGTGAGTCTCGGTTAATTAATTCGTCAATCACTTCTATTCATCTGTTGAAATTGTTCGTCAATTTCTAAGTTGCCACGAGGCTTTACAAAGATTTTCAATTTCCATTCAGGAAATGGTAACATATTACGATCCGTTTTCCACGCGTCATGCATCTCGAAGGGAGGCTCGAGCCTAGCCACAGATTGGCTCGCTTGAACGTTCACTTCTTCATCACGGAAGTGATTAATAGTTTACGTCTACGATACAATGGAAATCACTTCTCAAAGTGATTGAGTAGAATGCGCATTTATATACACAAATGACTTCATTGCAAGCCCTCGGCCTCTGAGATTCCAAAGATAGCACAGACGTATCTTTTACGTCTTCATCGATCACAAAAATGTTACAGAATACTAGGAATTATTCCGGGGACGCCTACGAATCAATATTGCGTTTCACATTTAACATTCTCGAAACTCACCAGACGACGTATAAATTTTTTGCACAGATGGGGATAACGCGGCTCCGAGTTTGGACGCGTCTGAGAATAAAGTTTCCTTCGATGGGCGACGCAAACGCAGATCTCCGGCCGAGAGCCAAAGGAGGACCCTGGACGATTCTCGGAACGAGTATGGCCAGTTTGTCGGACAAGGCGAGGAGCATCAAAATTTTTTACGAAACGACGGCAGGTACGGACGTTCATACATATACACACACCCACAGCTGCATCTTTTTCAAGCCGTTCCTTTGATTGGTCGTTAGCTCGTAAGCTCCTTAACTCGGACACCTCCGAGACTCTTAAACACGTGGCTACTATTGAACCTGATCTCGCGTTCCTCTTCGTTAGATATTTAAAAATAACAAGATTTATTAGTACAATTTATTTTTGTTGGTTATTATTTTGAATTCGAGGGATTCGTCGAACGTTGCTAGATGCTTGCTCGTCTGTAGATTTGGCTCGCGTTAAGATCGACAGAAAGGAACAGCGTTGCGTAATGACACGTTGCATCGAAGATGAAGAGCGAGCACAGACGTTTCTACCTACCGCAGATTGACAAATCGTTTTAGACAATAACAAACAAATTAGAAGGTATTACGTATTTCAATCTATATATCGCGGCAAGTACACCTTTCACGATAACAAACCGGCCGAGCCAACAAATAGTCAATTACGGGTAGGTACTCGCGTACTTACGTGCATGTCCATATGCACATGGAACGTGTTCACGGCGTAAGATGCGACAGTAAGTTATCATCAAGGGGAAACAGTTACTAAATGAGCACTTTCAGCGCAGGCAGAGACTGATCGCCGCATTAATCCCTGTCTGTTTCCATCACGGGGAGAGATCGTGCATCACGTGATCTCGCGCACTTTTTGGGCGGTTCATTAGTCGCGGTAACGAGAAAAAAATTGCTAAGTTCTTTTCGCGGGCCGACTTTCTTCCCCGACTTTCTCGCGGAGCGCAGCGCTTTAATCCACGGCCATCGCTCAACGACAGTCAGAAATTGAAAATCCTCTTCGTATTGTTTCGTCTCTTTAACACTAGAAACACTGAAACTTAGTATATACCTGTATTGCCGAAAAGCAGTAAAAATGACTGCATTGTGAAAGAATAATGTGTAA